TTCCACCTTCCTCGCCCTCCCCTTCCCCCCCTTCGCACATCCAGGACCTGGTCATCCCCGCCTTCAAGCGCTCCGAGCACTTCCGTAGCTCCCCCTATGTGGGGGCAGCGCCCTCCGAGAGGAACGTATTCCTGTTCTTTAGGGGGGACCTGAGACTGGCTCCGGGACAGGACCCGGAGTGCAAATATAGCAGGTGGGAGGGGGCAGGGGGTGGGGAGGGGAGGGGGAAGGGGGAGGGGGAAAAGACGAACCACAGGGAGAAGGGGGAGGGGGACCGGAGGGGACGGAAATGGGGGCCTAGCGGAGGGTGGGAATATGTGCGTATGTATGTATGCTGAAAGTTGGTAGGTGTTTTGCATCACCTGGCCGGGGGAGCAGTTAGGGGGGAGCGCCGCCTACATCACTCGACCTCCGAAACACACTTTTGTGCACGAGTCACACATTTTGTGTGTTGTGTATGTGTATTCTAACATGCTCGTACATTTTGTTGGAGGTGAATTATTGAATCTGTCGGGGGGGAAGGGGAGTGTTGAGATATGGAGCGGTGGATATTGCTTCTGCTCCTGTTCTGCTGCTAATATTGATGTCTTCCTGCTGCTGCTGCTACTGCTGCTGCTGCTGCTGCTGCTTGTCTATCGCTACTGCTGCTGCTGCTGCGACTGCTGCTGCTGCTGCTGCTGCGACTGCTGCTGCTGCTGCTGCTGCGACTGCTGCTGCTGCTACTGCTGCTGCTGCAGGTGCATCCGCCAGACGTTGTACAATCTGAGTATTTCTGAGCGGTGGCGCGAGAAGTACAATGTACTGCTGGGTGACACATCTACCGTACACGGGGACTACAGTGTACTGCTGTCTCAGTCGCTGTTCTGTCTGGTGGCGCCAGGTGCGTGCCTTGACTGCGCGTCGGGTTGGTGGTTGGCGGTTGATGGTTGGCGGTTGGCGGTTGGTGGTTGGCGGTTGGTGGTAGGGCTGGTGGTGAGACGGCTGGGTCCAGGGGGGGTTAGTGTCAATGGCACTAAAGTGAAGGGAAGCGGGGGTGGTGGGAGTTCACACATACACACATACACACATACACGCACAGCAGCAGCACATGCTACCCCCCTGAAGGGAGGGGAAGGGAGGGGAGGTGGCACTCGCACGTCACTCATCTACAACCTAGTGCGGCTAATGCCACACAACCCCACACCGCACATGTAATGCCGCATGGATGATCACTCAGCTCGTCCAACTCGTAACCACCACCTGTCTCTTTTTTCCAGGTGACGGTTGGTCTCCCCGTCTGGAGGATGCCGTACTTCACGGATGTATTCCTGTCATCATTATGGATGAAGTGCAGGTGGGGAAGGGGAAGGGGGGAGGGGAAGGGGGGTAATGACCCGAACTTCGTGACCGCTTCGTCCCAAGGTAACCCCAAACGGGCCAGGAGCGCTTCCCAGGGGGTTGGGGGGAGAGGGATTTTGTGATTTGGGAGGGGAGGGGGAGATATGGATGTGGATGTGGATGTGGATGTGGATGTGGATGGGCCCCCTTCACTTCATGAATTCCTACATTAACACAATCTGTGGGCCGCTCCCCACCCCATGACATGAAGAGGATTTGGACCTTAGGCTTCGCCCTGTGCTGAAATGCTTTACGGCTGTGACATGCCGTGCCCGTACACCACTTACACCCCGTCGCAACAACTGGGTCCCAACCAACACACACACACACACACACACGCGCGCGCGCCTGCGCATCCCCCCTCCCCTTCCATGCTCATTCCCGGGGGGCCCGGGTGCACCGGAAGTTCTGATTTTCCTCCCTTCCCCTCCCCCCGCCCCCGCCCCCCAAGGCTGTGTTCGAGTCCATCCTGGACCTGCCCAGCTTCTCAGTCCGGATACCCCAGGCGAACATGACCCAAATCGTCACCATTCTGAAGGTGCAATAAACCCGGTTGGGTGGCGGGGGGGAGGGGGGCAGGTGGAGGGGTGGTTCTGTGGTTGTGGCTGTAGCTCGGGGCGGGTGAGGGTGGGGGGTTGGGAGGGGGCGGTGCGGTGGAAAGGGTGGTGGGGGTGTGCGGGGGTGGGGCGCGTGAGGGCCATCATCCCCCCTTCTCCCGCACGACGTGTTTTACTGCTTCCATTCAACGCAAGAAAACACACACAAATGTGCGGAGGCCATCTCCCTCTCGATAAGTTAGTTAGTCGTTAGAGTAACCGAGTGACGTGTCTATGCATGCACTGTCTCAACGCAGTGCGAATAAAACGACGCACGTATGTATGTATGTATGTATGTATGTATGTATGTATGTATGTATGTATGTATGTATATATGTATGTATGTATGTATGTATGTATGTATGTATGTATGTATGTATGTATGTATGTATGTATGTATGTATGTATGTATGTATGTATGTATGTATGTATGTATGTATGTATGTATGTATGTATGTATGTATGTATGTATGTATGTATGTATGTATGTATGACTTAGATTACACTGTGGGCCGCGAGAGCCGGGGGCCGAAGCCGAAACACAGCGCAAGGGTCGGGAGCACATAGCACAAGTCGGTTAGTCTTGTGTGCTCCGGACCCCGGCTCAGACTGCCAACACTCTACGCAGCCACTCCGCAGCCCCTCCATGCGGGGATGCCGCTGCATTATATACACCACGAAGGGCTCTCAGGTCCCGCTAGAGCGAGTCCACAAGTCTCAGCTAGGGCAAAGTCAAAGGCTTTCTGAAACAACCCCCCAAAACACCACCAACGAAAACGGGATTCGAAGGGAAAACAAACAAACAAACAAAAATTCGGTTAAGGCAGTCCCGGCAGGGGAGGGCTCCTGATATACCTAACAGGCCAACAAAAAACCTCCAAGAGAGAAAGGCTAAGAGAGCTCGACACCACAAGAGTTCTTGCAACCACCTTAAAACAACTGACCTCCACCACCTGTCCCTTCCTGGGCTGGTCCAGGGGAGAAGTAGCCATAAAAAGAAAAGGGACCACGCACAAGCCCGATCACCACTGCAGGGGCCCGGGATAGTCCGGTGAAACCACAAAAGCGTTAGCGTTGCCACGACACACAGCTCCTAGACCCTCCAGAAAACCGCAGGGGGAGGATTGTAGCGGCGCCTCCCCCTTACCGCCACTAACCTGAACGGTTGGTCCTCCAGAAACCTATTCACCCTGTCTCGTACTGCACCGCTCTCACCTTCGTCCCTCACCAAGCAACCCAGACCCACAGAGAAGACGTGCCTAAGTAGAATGGCCCTCCTCGGGCCACATCTCCCCCTCATCCGAGCCCCGCTACCACCACCAGACCTCCACCTCCCACACACCAGAAAACCTACGTCCTTTTGGCGCTCTCACCGCCATATCCCCCCTCCCCTGACCGAGCGACCCCACCTCCCCCCGGCTCTCCAGCACCCTACAACCTCGGAGCGGCACTAGGGAAGAAATTGGGTTCTTCCCTGCACTAGTATGTATGTATGTATGTATGTATGTATGTATGTATGTATGTATGTATGTATGTATGTATGTATGTATATGTCTTTCATCAATACGCAAAGGCATACCCATACCGGGTAGCTGGAGGGGGGGAGGAGGGGGAGCGTCCGTACCGCTCCGTGGGCCTCCATATCGCCTTGATCGACGTGCTCGTCCCAACTGGCTTCGGCTCCCCGCG